CAAGCCTCCTCTGCTGTCACTTGAACGTTGACTAGTTCAATGATCATTTTAGAGATAAAGCTATTGGGTTGTGGGCAGGTTAAACAACTTGATGGAGGGAGGAAGTGTAACAGTGGTTTATTGAGTGTGTAGTTAGAAAGCCTAGGTTCAAACCCAGGCTGTCAGTAACTAGCTTGGAGACTTTGAGGCAGAAAGTCTGCGAAATCTCTTATCTGTAAAAGAATGTACCCCCTGGGGTTAGGGTGAAGATCAAGTGAGATAAAGCAGGAATACCTGGCTGTAAATGCTTGATACATGTTCCATCATCATCATCACAACCACCACCACCGCTGCCACCACCCCAGAACCCCAGGAAATTAGCAGCAATTCTGAGACTAGATCCAGTGCACATGCTTCAAAGTCTTATGTTCATTTATTTAATGAACACACATTTGTTACGTTTTTTACTAGAACATCATCTTTGCAGAATTCCCCAACCATTTTTGTCTCCCTTCCTGTACCTTTCCCCCAAAACCACCAATTAAGATAGCAAACACCAAGATCAAAGGAATGTTTATTACAACATTTATGGTCCTTTCTCCTCCATAAATAAATCTGTACAGAGTTGGAAAATAAAACCATGATATATACAGAAGGAAAGAGCATTGTGTTAAGGCTCAGGAATCAGCACGTCATCAGGGTCAGCATTTTCCCATTTTCAAGTGCACTAACAAGGCTGCTGGAATCTCCACCGGAGTGGAAACTCTTCCTGTTGCGGGAACTCTCAGAATGTGGGGGTCCATCGTAGGTTCAGCCTATGACCCAGGTCCAAAAGTTCCAGCCTTCTCAGCCACCTCCAGGGCTAGCTTCAAATTCTGGTCAAATAGCTCACACCTAAGCCAGGCCCAAGGTGGGTAAAAAAAAACCATGAAGCCTGAGTTTTTCTCCCCACTTAAGCCAGGGGAAACTGCTTGAAGAAAGACATAAATCATGGGAGGTGGAGGTGGGCGAATCATCTGAGGTCAGGAGTTCCAGACCAGCCTGGCCAACATGGTGAAACCCCTAACCCTAACCTGTCTCTATTAAAAATACAAAAATTAGCCAGGAATGGTGGCAGGTGCCTGTAATCCCAGCTACTCAGGAGGCTGAGACAGAAGAATTGCTTGAACCCAGGAGGTAGAGGTTGCAGTGAGTCAAGAGATCAGGCCATTGCACTCCAGTCTGGATGACAAGAGTGAAACTCCATCTCAAACAAAACAAAAAAACCCCCAAAACCCCAAGGAAAATCTGTTTTCTCAAATAAAGGGCTAGTCACTGTTGTCTTATTTGACAGTCCCACTCTGTCACCAAGGCTGGAATGCAGTGGCGTGATCTTGGCTCACTGCAACCTCTGCCACCCAGGTTCAAGCGATTCTCCTGCCTCAGCCTCCCGAGTGCACTACCACGCTCAGCTAGTTTTTGTATTTTTAGTAGAGACCAGGTTTCGCCATATTGGCCAGGCTGGTCTTGAACTCCTGACCTCAGGTGATTTGCCTGCCTCAGCCTCCCAAAGTGCTGGGATTACAGGCGTGAGCCACCACATCCAGCGACTATTGTCTTATTTAGAGACGTGGTCTTGTTCTGTTGCCCATGCTGGAATGCCGTGGCACCAGCATGGCTCAATGCTGCTTTGAGCTTCGGGTTCAAGCAATCCTCCCACCTCAGCTTCCTGAACAACTGGTGTCTGCCACCACACCAGGCTAATTTTTTTTTGCTTGTTTTTTTTTTTTTTTTGGTAAAGATGGGTCTATGTTGTCCAGGCTGATCTCAAACTCCTGGGCTCAAGGGATCCTACCCCCTCAATCTCCCAAAGTGCTGGGATTATAGGTGTGAGCCACCAGCCTGTCCTCTCGTCTTACTTAAAAGTAATACTCTGCTATGCTTCAAATGACTTTGGGCAGAGCACACAGGGAGGGGCAAGGAGGCTTTAACCAGTATCTGGGAAGTGGGGCCACTTACCTGATGGGCATTTCTAAGGAGTAGAATGGATTCTTGAGGGCAAAGTCTGAGTAAATCTCATAAATCTTTCGGAGAAGAGAATCTATTCCAGCTTGCCTAGGATCTGCTAGAACCACAAATTTGATCCCTGGAGAGAGACCAAGAATGGTTACCAAAGGGTAGACATGAGCAAATAGTGTCATCCTGTATTCGTACAGCACTTTCAATTTTGCAAAACACTTTCATAAGTCTATTTTAATTTTATTCTTTTACCACATAATGCAGGAAAGGCAAGACTTTGAATCTACAGATGAGACCAGAGAAGTGAAGTGACTTTATTATGTTGCCCAGCTGAGTTCTAGCTCTGCCACTTACTGTTTTGGAGTCCCTCAGCAGAAACATTGCCAGGCAGGGGACAAACTCAGGCAGTTTTCAATAAATCAAGGGGGTGAAGCAATGACACTCTCAATCCAAAGGTCATATCCATTTGGCTTTCAAATTTCATTTTGGAAAAACACTTAACACCTTCCAAAGTACATGTAACAGAAAATAGCATTAAGCTGAGTTTTATCTGAACACGAGATAACCTGTGCTGACTGAACATGCTGGGTGGCATGGACAAAATCAGTTTCAGATTAAATATTGGCTTTGTATTCACAAAACAAACAAACAGATGTATCTGTAGAATTGTGCCAGGAAGGCCAGGCACAGTGCTCACATCTGAAATCCCAGCACTTTGGGAGGCCAAGGCAGTTGGATCACCTGATAACAGGAGTTTGAGACCAGCCGGGTCAACATGGTGAAACCCCAGTTCTATTCAAAACACAAAAAATTAGCTGGGTGTGGTGGCATGCGCCTGTAGTCTCAGCTACTCAGGAGGCTGAGGCAGGAGAATCACTTGAACCCAGGAAGTGGAGGCTGTAGTGAGCCAAGATCACGCCGCTGCACTCCAGCCTGGGAGGCAGAGTTAAACTCCATCTCAAAAAACACACACCCCTTCTTCTTGCTTACCAAAGGTATCTTTGGTCAATACCTTCCCCCAACCTTCTCCATCACACTCCTCTGGCCCCGGGAGATGCATACCTTTGAGTGTCTCTTCTCCATCACATTCCTCTGGCCTACCTGGAGATGCATACCTGTCAGTGTCTGGTAGCAGTGCAATTTGAATGTATCTGTCTCCAGCATCTCAATGCCTGAGCTTCCCTGTTCAGGAGACAGCTGAGAGCCGATGGCAAAGAGCCTATATGCAAAGGAGGCAAAGTTGCTCTAAGGAAGGAGTGCTTCTCAAACTTCCACTCAAGTGCCCCTATTTGCTGAGTTCACAGTACCGCCTGGAACAGTCAGAAGTAGTGTGAACTGTCTGGCAGTAGTGTCAAAATTTCTAAGTTCATCTGAATTCTGCAAACATTTTCCATTCATACTTTGTTATAAGACATTTAACATCTAAAACTTTGGGTAAAATGAACACTGTAGGAATATGTGCCACGCCTACTTAACTTGTAAACACAAGCAAAGGCTGGCATATTTGATACCACATTTGAGAGCAGGAAGAGATTTTTAAAGATCATTCAGTTCAATTGGCTTTATTTAAATATGAAGAAACTAAGGCTCAGAGATGAGAAGCTGACTTTAAGTAAGATGACACCTCGGCCAGATGCCTTGGCTCACGCCTGTAATACCAGTACTTTGAGAGGCCAGGGCGGGTTAATCACCTGAAGTCAGGAGTTCGAGATCAGACTGGCCAACATGGCAAAACCCGGTATCTATTAAAAATACAAAAATTAGCTGGGTGTGGTGACGTGCGCCAGTAATCCCAGCTACTCAGGAGGATGAGGCAGGAGAATCGCTTGAACCTGGGAGGCAGAGGTTACAGTGAGCAGAGATTGCGCCACTGCACTCCAGCCTGGGTAACAGAAGGAGACTCCGTTCCCCCTACCCCCGTACAAAAAAAGATGACACCACTGCCACTATTACCTAAAATCTAGATCTGAATCAGCTGCGTTTTTCACAACACCAGAACCACGATTTAAGAAGGGGTAGAGAAATTAAGAAGAGGTAGAGAAATACAAGCGCTGCCGAGACGGGGGACTTACGAGTGGAACATAGAGGCCAGCATGAGCTTCTCATTAGAAGTGAGGCGGGGACGGCCAAATCGAATGGACACCGGGTAATTAGCAGGGTTACCCAGATACTCCAGTACCTCTTTCCCGTCGGCCGTGTACTTGCCATTCACGTCCATGCCATTGATGGCCAGCACTGCATGGCCCACTGCAGAGGTGAGGCTAACGGTCAGGGAAGCCGCAGCCTCAGGATTCCGCCACAGGGAGAAGGGACCCGACACCACCCCCTTACTCCCAGCTCCGCACCTGCAACCAGCCCACTTCCGCAGCACTGGGGCCCGCCCCCCGACCCCCATCTCCGCAGGGCCCGAGGCTAGCCCACCTCGGATACCGTCCCGCTGGCCGAAAGCAACCAGCACACGCTCATCGTGTAGCTTGAGCAGCAGATCCAGCGGATAACTGAAAGTTTTCTCAGCCTCGGCCCGCGGCGCGTAGCTGTCCAGCTGGTAAATCAGGCCGCCAGCTTTGTTCACCACATACACACTAAAAATCGCCATTGCTGCCACGGCCGCTCAGGGACTGGCGCTCGGCCTCTACCCGGAACCACATCACAACACTCGCCCCGGGCCCCACCCCAGCCTCCACCTCCCGGGCCCCGAGCACCGCCCATTGCGGCGGCTGCGCACTGGGAGCGACACGCTCGAGCATTACTAATGCCGAAAAGTTAGTTGCCGAGACCAGGTGGATTGTTTTTGGTCTATCAGTACCGGAAAACACTACTATAGTACTGCGTCACAACTAGCGCAGACTCCGACAACCAGGGGCGGTGTATAGGGAATGCGGCTTGGGAACTGGAGTCCACTTCCCTCCGCCTCAAGCTGGAGTACGAGCCCTTCGCTGTGGGACTTCCTCCGCCTGGCTCCGCCTCTTGCCCTGGAAGTAGTCACAGCGGACGGAGGTTTCTGGGCCCGTTTTTGAGCAGCGCTTCCTTTTTGTCCGACATCTTAGTGCGGTTGTAGTGTTCTCCGCTCCTCTCCGAGCTTCGCAATGGTAAGCTTCAGGGGTATGAAGTCGCCGGGGTTCTTGGGTTTGAGGACTCAGTGGGAGAGAGCATTCGACAGTAGCGCTTGTTGTCCTGCCGGCGTCGGGGCGGGGCGGGCGCGGTTATTGCTTTGCCCATGTGCTCCGGTGGTGGAGTTTGCGGGGCCTGGGGGCGCAGTATTAAGGGCGTTTGGGGCTATTTGAGGACCTGGCTGCATTCCCGCTGCCCTCCTACAGCCGCCCAAGGACGACAAGAAGAAGAAAGACGCTGGAAAGTCGGCCAAGAAAGACAAAGACCCAGTGAACAAATCCGGGGGCAAGGCCAAAAAGAAGGTAGGAGTAAGACCCTCTGGGAGACCTAGGGGTGCCTTCGTGTAGCCCTCTAGTAATAAGCAATTTGTATAGCAAGTGGCTTTTCAGGTGTGGATTCTAGAGTCAAAATACGAGAGTTTATCCTCCCGTCACCACTCGTTCTTTTTCCTCATTTCCATTAGGATCATGAGACCAGCGTGTAAAGTGTCTCCTCCAGTGCCTGCTGGGTTATTTTTAACTGATCTAATGGGGCTCGGCCCATGTTCTGACGCCCAAAAACGTGTTGGGGTTTTTTTTTAGTAATGTGTAATCTATCTTTGATTATGGTGGGACAGACTTCTCTGACACAGATTACTCGAGAGGGAAAGGGTGCTTCTGCCAGAAATACTAACTTGTTTCTGTTTTGTTTTGGTGAGCAGAAGTGGTCCAAAGGCAAAGTTCGGGACAAGCTCAATAACTTGGTCTTGTTTGACAAAGCTACCTATGACAAACTCTGTAAGGAAGTTCCCAACTATAAACTTATAACTCCAGCTGTGGTCTCTGAGAGACTGAAGATTCGAGGCTCCCTTGCCAGGGCAGCCCTTCAGGAGCTCCTTAGCAAAGGTGAGGGGTGTATCCTACATGTGTTTTTGTGGATTAAATTATCTTGACCAGCCGGGCACAGTGGTTAGCGCCTGTAATCCCAGCACTTTGGGAGGTCATGAGTTTGAGACCAGCCTGGCCAGCCTATAGTGAAATCCCGTCTCTACTAAAAAAAACTAGCTGGGTATGGTGGCGCACACCTGTAGTCCCAGCCACTTGGGAAACTGAAGCAAGAGAATCGCTTGAACCCGAGAGGCAGAGGCTACAGTAAGCCAAGATTGGCCACTCTACTGCAGCCTGCGTGACAGAGCAAATTTGTCTTTCAGAAACACACAAAATTGTCTTGACTATGTCAACCATCTTCAGTGATTTTTACTGGAAAAGCAAAATTAAGGAAAAAGGTGACTGGGAGCGTTGGCTCACGCCTGTAATCCCAGCAATTTGAGAGGCCGAGGCAGGTGGATCACAGGGTCAGGAGTTCAAGATCAGCCTAGCCAAGATGGTGAACAGCCCCCCACCCCCACCCGTCTCTACTAAAACTACAAAAATTAGCCAGGCTCGGTGGCATACTTCCTCCTGAGATGAATTCTTAGCTGGGTTCTTAGACACTTTTGTGCTGTAGACCCTGTGGCATTTTAGTGGAGCCCAAGGATTTTTTTTTTTTTTTTTTTTTTTTGCATGCACTTAGGGCATAGGATAGGATCTTTTATGTTTCAAGTAAATGGATGCATAGAATTACAGGGGCAACACTTTGAAATAATTTTATTACTTTGTTGAAATAATTTTTAAAATGTTTAAAACTTACGGTAAATATTTTATTGATGTATTTTAAATTCAGAAAGTTAGTATGGTCTACTCAATAATATGCTCTAATTACCATAATTTCAGCATTAAGGCTCAGCTAACTATAGTGACTGAACAGCTGTAATCTTAGCACTTTGGGAGGCCGAGGCAGGTGAATCACCTGAGGTTTAGGAGTTTGAGACCAGCCTGGCCAACATGGTGAAAATCTGTCTTTACTGAAAATACAAAAATCAGCTGGGCGTGGTGGTGCATGCCTGTAATTCCAGCTACTCAGCATGCTGAGGCACGGGGATTCCTTGAACCCAGGAGATGGAGGTGTCAGTGAACCGAGATCACACCACTGCACTCCAGCCTTTGTGACAGGGTGAGACTGTCCCCACAAAAAAAGATTATGGGCCCCTAATTTAAAGGAGAAGTAAAGATAAAAAAGATAGGTGATTGTCAAAGACTGTAGGATTCTCTAGCTGTTACCAAACGTCAGATTAAGCAGTTCTGGAGCCAGATGCAGTGGTACCCTTCCTTCTATTTCTAGCTACTTGGGAAGCCAAGGCAGGAGGATCATTTGAGCCAAGGAGTTTGAGACCAGGCTGGGCACCTTTGAGAGAACCCTGTCTGTCTTTTTGTTTTTTGAATTATGTTTTGTTTTGTTTTTTAAACTTAAAAAACTTTAAAAAAAAATAAAAAAGACGGGGTTTTACCATGTTGGTCAGGCTGGTCTTGAACTCCTGACCTCAGGTGATCCACCCACCTTGGCCTCCAAAGTGCTTGGATTACAGGCGTGAGCCACTACGCCTGGCCTGGTTTTGTTTTAGAGATGTGGTTTTGCCATGTTGCCTGGACTGGTCTCCTGGGCTCAAGAGAGCCACTTGCCCAAAGTGCTGGGATTACAGGCATGAGCCACTGCACCCAGCCAAAACAACCTTACTAGTTTCTTTTTCTTTTTGAGACAGTCTCACTCTGTCACCCAGGCTAGAGTGTGAGGGGCAATCTTGGCTCATTGCAACCACCTTCTCCTTGGGTTCAAGTGGTCTTAGTATTCGAGACTCCCAAGTAGCTGGGATTACAGGCACGTGCCACCGTGCCCAGCTAATTTTTGTATTTTTGGTAGAAACAGGGTTTTACCATGTTGGCCAGACTGGTCTGCAACTCCTGACCTCAAGCTGTCTCCCTGCCTCCATCTCCCAAACTGATGGAATTACAAGCACGTGCCACCGTGCCCAGCTAATTTTTGTATTTTTGGTAGAAACAGGGTTTTACCATGTTGGCCAGACTGGTCTGCAACTCCTGACCTCAAGCTGTCTCCCTGCCTCCATCTCCCAAACTGATGGAATTACAAGCATGATCCATGGTGCCCAGGCAAAAACCTTACTAATTTCTATTACAGCATCTATTAAGTGTCTCATCTTGAGGCTGGGTGTGGTGGCTCACACCTGTAATCCAAGCACTTTGGTGGCCAAGGCAGGCGGATCACCTGAGGTCGGGAGTTCAAGACCAGCCTGACCAACATGGTGAAACCCCATCTTTATTAAAAAAAAAAAAAAAGTATCTCATCTTACTATCCTGTCTCCCTAGGACTTATCAAACTGGTTTCAAAGCACAGAGCTCAAGTAATTTACACCAGAAATACCAAGGGTGGAGATGCTCCAGCTGCTGGTGAAGACGCATGAATAGGTGAGTAGGAAATGCTTGGGCTCATGGTATGGGAGGTAGATAACTCCTTTACAAAGCTTTATGGTTCTGATTCTTTCCTTTTTTTTTTAAACAGGTCCAACCAACTGTACATTTGGAAAAATAAAACTTTATTAAATCAAATGAATGAGTATGTCTGTTTCCTCTATCAAGAAAGACAAAGAATTTGGTGGAAGGTACAATAGTAGGGGTTTGTTGATGTTGCTTTAGCCTCATGGTAGTTGGTAGAGCATGATTAGCTTTTTTCTCTATGTGACTGCTTCTTCATTGCTGCAGCTTCATTTTTGAATTGATGCCTGAAAGGAAATAAAGGGTTAACAGGAAGAAGGGTGACATCTCCAAAAAGGAGGTTGGGTGGGTAGGTTGGAGACCTGGCATTGAACATATACCTGGACTGCCAGCGGCGTCCATTATTCCAGACACGGCCAAAAGAGGGCAGCCAGCCTGCACTGGTCCTGGAGCTGTGATCAAAGTTGGCCCCCACTCGGTCTGGGGGGAGTTTCTTCAACTTCTGTTTTTCCTCTGTGCAATGATAAAGAAACAGTTTGTTCTTTAATTTTCTTTGTTAAAGAATACAAAGATGGGGTCTTATGCTGTCCAGGCTGCTTTCAAACTCTTGGGCTCAACTGATCCTCCCACCTCAGCCTCCCAGAATGCTAGTATTACAGCTATGAGCCATCAACACCCAGCCAAGGAAACCATTTTTTGAGTGTGAAGATTGAGAGGACCCTCTTCCTTTCTTGAATTAGTTTACTAACTTTCTTTAAGAAATTCTTCATAGGACGGTCCTATTTGTTGGTTCCCAGAGGTATATTCATCTTGGATCATCCAGGGGGGTGTGGCACCTGGAAAAGAAGAAATTTTTTTTTTAGGCCTTCAGGCCATTATTATGAAACATACCCTAGCCAATAGCTCATCTCCTAATAGCTAATGTTTAAAAGCAAAACCCAGGAATTTTGGCGATTAGGAAGAAGGCCCTAGGCCAATTTAAAGCAACATAACCTTAAATGTGATACTCATTTTAAAATGGCTTTGAGGTGTAATTGACAAGTGATATTTAAATTTGATAACTTTTGAGTGACGCCATCACAATCAAGACCCCAAACAGGCTGGGAGCCGTGGCTCAGGCCTGTAATCCCAGCACTTTGGGAGGCCGAGGTGGGTGGATCACTAGCTCAAGAAATCAAGAACATCCTGGTCAACATGGTGAAACCCCACCTCTACTAAAAATACAAAAAATTAGCTGAGCATGGTGACGTGTGCCTGTAATCCCAGCTACTTGGGAGGCTGAGGTAGGAGAATTGCCTGAACCCAGGAGGTGGAGGTTGCGGTGAGCCAGTGTGCCATTGCACTTTAGCCTGGGTAACGAGTGAAACTCCCATCTCAAAAAAAGACCCCAAACATCCCCCTCCAAGTATCACTGCTCCATTATAATATTTTCTTGTCCAGGGAATCAGTGATCTTCAGTTGCTTTATCAGTTTGTATTCTTCAGGATTTTCTATAATGTGTGGATGTTGAGGTGGGCTCTGGCCTTTTGAGATTCATCTGTGTTGTGTGTATCAATAATTCTGTCTTCATTCTGGAATGCCATTCCATCGTTAATCCATTTTCCTGCTGATAGACATTTAAATTGTTTGCAATTTGGAGCTGCTACAAATAAAGCTGTTCTGAAGATTTGCGTACAAGTCTGTGCAGACAGACTTTCTTTTCTCTTAGGTAAATAGGTAGAAGGGGAATGGCTGGGATATGGCAGGTGTATCCAGAACTGTTAAAGTGACCATGGTAAATAGGTGGTAAATATTTAGAAGTGGAATGGATGGATGATATGGTAGGTATATCCTGAACTGTTTTCCAAAGTGACTGTACCAGTTTACATCGTAACCAGCAGTGTATGAGGCTTTGGTTTTTCTTTTATTTTTCTTTTTTTAATTGCATTTTAGGTTTTGGAGTACATGTGAAGAACATGCAAGATAGTTGAATAGGTACACACGTGGCAGTGTGATTTGCTGCCTTCCTCCCCTTCACCTGTATCTGGCATTTCTCCCCATGCTCTCTCTCCCCAACTCCCCACCCCCTGGTTTTTCTTTTTCTTTTGAGTTTGAGTCTGTCACCCAGGCTGGAGTGCACTGGCACGATCTCTGCTCACTGCAACCTCTGCCTCCTGGGTTAAAGCATTCTGCCTCAGCCTCCTGGGTAGCTGGGACTACAGCACCCACCACCACGCCCGGCTAATTTTTGTATTTTTAGTAGAGACGGAGTTTTGCCACATTGGCCAGGATGGTCTCGAACTCCTGACCTTGTGATCCAGCCACCTCAGCCTACCAATGTGCTGGGATTACAGGTGTGAGCCACTGCCTGGCCAAGGGTTTGGTTTTTCTACATTGCCAAATACTTGGCATGATCAGTCTTTAACTTCTGCTGTTCATCATGCATACGTAGTGGTATTTCACTGTGGTTTTAATTTTCATTTCCCTGATGACTAATGATGAACAGCTATTCATATGCTTTTACTGGGTTTTCTTATCAAGTTGACAGTTCTTCATATATTCTGGATGTAAGTCTTTTACCAGATATATATGCTATATCTTGGTCGACTTTATTTAAAAAAAAATTTATCTCAGGGTTTTAGAAACGCTGCCATGGACCTTACCTGAGTGGATGTTACCAACTCCTGGTATGTCCTGTAGTTGGAAATGGAAAAAAAAAATGCTAGTTACAGTAAAGTCTAGGCATGACTAAAAAAAAATCCTAGAAAAGACAAAGCACACTTTAAAAGAGGTAGATGTGACTGCTGCCACAGTGCTAATTCTGCACCCCAGCTGATGTTAAACTTTGAAAGTACAGTCAGTGACTCCAAGACACAGGAAGCTCACAATCATAGAGATGTCTGGAAGTAGAGTGACTATTACATGTCATTTGAGCAAAACCTTGCCCTCACTGCATACGTATAATTGGGGAAGAACATTAAGCACAAGTTATGTAAATGACATTTGCAACTTTACATGGTGCCACATCCCAGAGATAACCTGTTCAGATAAGCCTTTTATGAAAAAGTGAGTTTGAGCTAACAGCTAAAGGAAGGTAAACTTTAGATGATGAGGGAAGGAAACCCATGTTTTAGGCAGTGGCAACTGTGTAAAAGCCTGAAGCAACACAATACAGCTGAAGTGTAGAGTAAGATCATAGGTGGTGCAATGACTTTGTTTGTGAGGCAGGATTGAGGTGGAGCAGAAACTGTCCAAAGGCTGAATAGAGGCAGACAGGTTAAAACTACTTGTTGACAGGATATGGGAGATGGCAAAGGAGGAAAGGATCTGCATCTAGTGATTGGAAATACAGGAGTGCTGGGGGTTAGTTTGAGATGCCTGCGGGATATTTAAATATAAATGTCCTGGCTGGGTGTGGTGGCTCACTCATGTAATCCCAGCACTTTTGGAGGCAGAGGCAGGCAGATCACCTGATGTCAGGAGTTCCAGATGAGCCTGATCAACATGGTGAAAACCCTGTCTCTACTTAAAATACAAAAATTAGCTGGGTTTAGTGGCATGTGCCTGTAATCCCAGCTATTCAGGAGGCTGAGGCAGGAGAATCACTTGAACCTGGGAGGCGGAGGTTGTGGTGAGCAGACATCATGCCACTGCACTCCAGTCTGGGACAGAATGAGACTCCATCTCAAAAAAAAAAAAAAATTACATATATATAAAAATATCCTGTGTTGAGTTGGAACTATGAGTTCTACAGAGGGCATGATACGGGAGTTGGCACTCTTAAGTGGCAATACATGTAAATAAGATCACTTTGGAGGATGAGAAGAGGTTTGAGAACACTATTAGGGAACAGTAAAGCAAGAAGGAAAAGCCTGCAGTGGAGACAGCAGTGGCTAGAATAGACAGAAAAATCAGGAGAGAGGGGTCCTGAGACCGAGGGAGCATAGGCCCTCTTCTGGCTTGCTTATCCTTTGTACCTGATGCCCAATGAATGTCAGAGATTGTCCTGTCTCCATCCAGTCAAGCTCTGGAGCTGGTGGCAGGTCCAAGTTTGAGGGCTGCTGTGAACTGGAAGCTACTTGGCTGAAAAACATGAGCCAGGCTGCCAGATGAGGTCCTTGAACCATGAGGGTGGTAAAGATTAGATCTGTTTCCAATTCCCAGCCAAAAGGTTGCAGAATGTTCTAGATGTCAAGTTCCCAACAAGAGATTCGCTAACAGTCTTACCTGTTCATCCCTTTCCAGCTTCTAGGTGCTGAAGAGCCCTCTTCTGGGTCTGGTACTGCCTGAGGCTGAGTTTGATTCAGGAAAAATAAATGTGTCTGGGATGCTTAAGAGCCTGCCTAGGCCATGCCTCCACCCTCCAGACCCCAGTATCACAGGAAGGAAACAAATTGGCATATGGATAGTACAGCCCATTTTACAGACTCTTCCCCTCCCTCCTTCCCTCCCTCCCTCCCAGCCCTGTCCACATATTCACTAACTAGGCCTGCCCCCGGCACACAGGTAAAGGAATTCAAGCCGAACAGATAAGAATGTAGTCAGAGTTTTCTTAGAAGCACTGCTTCATGGCTGGGCGCAGTCGCTGACGCCTATAATCCAAGCACTTTGGGAGGCCGAGGTGGGTGGATCACCTGAGGTCAGGAGTTTAAGACCAGCCTGGCTAACATGGTGAAACTCCCATCTCTATTAAAAATACAAAAAAATTAGCCTGGTGTGGTGGCAGGCACCTGTAATCCCAGCTACTCGGGAGGCTGAGGCAGGAGAATCATTTGAACCTGCAAGGCAGAGGTTGCAGTGAGCTGAGATCATGCCAATGCACTCCAGCCTGGGTGACAGTGTGCAACTCCATCTCAAAAAAAAAAACAAAAGCAGTCGTTCATGCAATGCTGGAGCTGGGAATGCCAGGGATCAGTGGATTTGGATACTGGTCTGGATCCTCCGAGGGAAACCAACCTCTAAGACAGACCGAACCATCTCCTGCCGGCTCTGCTCCACCTCACGGATCTGAGCTGCCATCTGTGGGAGAGAGACTGCTTAGGTATAGGATCATGGGGCCGGGTTCTTCAGGGGCCTTTCCTTTAACTCAGGAGCCCCCCAACCCCAGGAGTGGACCAGTACTGGTCTGTGGCCTG